TGCAAAAAATAGAAAAATGATGCAGAAATCATAATATTTCTTTCTTTCTTTGCTTGTTTATCACTCGCACAAAACAAGATTCAAGATACTGTGCTGTGAAATGTCACAAAAGTGAAATATTAACTTAAAAAAAAATCAGACAACTTAGTTGCACACAGCAAAAACTAGCTACGGCTAAATTAGGCAGAAAACATATGTAAGTAAATGTTGTACAGCTTCCAAAACCTCCAGTAGATCCAGATAACTAGCCTTGGAAATACACAACAATAATACACAGCAATCATAATGTGGTGCTTCTTCGCTTGAGTCATTTATATCCTTACCATGCATGAGTGGGCACGTAAATGTTGATTTTCTTAGCATTCTTTATCCCGACTGCATATGTCTTACATACTTTGTAAGTGTGATTTTTGCACAAAAAAATTTTAATGAGAACTTTCTCGAGTTGACAAAAGAAGTCAGTTTTCAGATGGGAAAGGTGCAATAATGTTGGTCATGATAAATGAAAATCACGTACACATACACTTACCTGAAACGTGAAAATCAAAGCATAGAGATAAAGAGAGACGTGCATGTGAATTTTGACATAATAGAGAAAGGACACCTAATTTGGCAATTGTTAGAGGACCAAGAAAATCAGAACTGGCACCCAGAAGAAGGCACTATTCAAGAGAGTAATACATGAACATAATTTATACATGAAAGAGCAAAATACTTATCATGAAATATTTATCCCTTCCTCCCTTTCCCCACTCCTACTGATCAGAGATAACTGCCCTTGGCTCTTTTAGATTTAATATTTATTCCAACTTTAAATCCAAATTTTACCACTTTTTTGATTCCTCAGTTGTAGATAGTATGTATTAACCACCGAATATTGCAAATGAGGATTGTTCAACATTCTACACTACTTCCCTTCCTTCCATTGTTCCAACATAGTTATCTTTGAATATGTACTTACAATAACAATCAGTGTTTATGCCATTATGGCTAATAAATATTGTTCCTTGAAGATTCAGGTAGTATATTATGCTAACAGTATATTTCCTAAAAATTATTTTTAATCCTTAATGATTGCCTCCTTTTATAATATGTTTATCATATATGATATATTCCATAAATACATAATGCATGGTAACAAATATTTTCTACTTTCCCCAATGGTAAATAATCCAATAGGAGCAAAAGTTCAGTAAGAAATTTCCAAGAGTTGTACGTGGGTCATTGGAGTACAGAAAAAAATATACTAGATCCTATATTTTTAAGATGTTAATAGCAAGGTAATAATTAAACACCATGTTTAAACCCGTTTTTGTCCCCAAACATAACTCAAAAGGAAAATTATAAGGAATTAAAATATGCACTAAGATGAATGATTATAAAGTGCACACCCATGTAACCACCGCTCAAATCAAGAAATACAGTAGTCCTCTCTTATGTGTGGTTTCCGTTTTCACATTTTCAGTTACCTGCAGTCAAACACAGGTGGAAAATTGGTAGGTACAGTACAAATATGGTATTTTAAAAGACAGAGAGACCACATTCACATAAATTTTATTACAGTATATTGTTATAACTTCTATTTTATTATGAGTTATTGTTGTTAATGTCTTATGGTGCCTAATTTATAAATTTAACTTTATCATAGGTATGCATGTATAGGAAAAAGCACAGTACTGTATGTATAGGGATTGCTACTATCAATGGTTTCAGGCATCTGGTGGGGGGCTTGGAGCACATCCTACCGGGGTGGGGGGGGGACTACTACGTTCCATTGCCATCACACCAACGTCACCCTCCCCCCACTACAACCTTATCTTTAGTCCCTAGAGGTCACTACAATTCTGACTTTGTATCTTACAATTTTCAATCGTTTTATCTCCTGTGTTTAAATATAATATTATTTAGCATTTTAAAAGCTTAAACCTATATAATGGGATATATATTTGTTAAACTCAATACTATGTATGGCAGATTCATCCATTTTTGCAGCTGGATACAGTGGCACTTATTTTCATTGCTGTGTGGTACGGCATTCCATTATATGAATACACTACAATTTTTCTTAATCCTATTCTACTTTTGATGGCATTTCCTCCCATATGTTGGCTATTATAAAGAATGGTGCTGTGCAAATTTCTTGTATACGTATCCTGACACACAGAAGTAAAATCGCTGGGTAATAATGTTTAAATATCTTCCTGTGAAAGAACTGTCAGTTCTCCAAAATGGTTTTACGGATCTGCAAGTACTTCACCAGCAACCCTGGGTTCCTCTCACCCCGCGGCCTTACTAACACATGGAAGAGTAACTCCGCCTCCTATCTAACACTTAGAAATATCAGTCTTTTTAATTTTAGCCATTCCTGTGGGTAATATTTTTATAGGATAGTAGTATCCCATTGGGGTTTCAATTCACATTTTTCTGCTTACTAATGAGACCAAGCATTCTTTCTCATTCATAAGCCATTTCGACTCTCTCTCATACAAAATAACTACTACATTATCTTGCCCATTTTTATGCTGTATCATTCATCTTTTCCTTATTTATTCAAGACAATGTGTGATATGAAATTTTCCCAGTTACATACGATTCTATTAATTTAATATTCAAAAATCCACCAACTTAAAGTTTTATGCCAGTTTTTATTAAATTTGCCCCCATTCAACCCTTTTTTCTAGTTCTCTTTTTGCATCTCTAATTATCACTCCCATTTCCACTATTTTCTTATTGCCAAAAGTAAAACTGTTAAATTTTCCTTAAATGCAGATCTGCCAGCGACCAATTATTATTACTTTTTAAATGTAGAGATGTCTTTATTTTCTCTTCATTCTTGAAAGGTAATTTCGTTGATACAGAGTTATTATATAAACTGGCGGTTGTTTACTTAGAAATGATGAAGGTATTAGTCCATCGACTTCTGACTTTGTCACTATTAAGTCTGTAAAAACTATCTTCTTAAAAGCTGTCTTAAAAGATATGTTTTACTTAATATTAAAGTAAGCTATACTTTTACTACGATGTATATAGATGTTAATTTCTATCAGCTTATCATGATTAAGATTTGTAAATCTTGTCAAGTCTCTGGATTGATGTCTTTCATCATTTCTGGAAGATTGTCAACTATCTCTTCAAATATTGCTTGTGTCACCATTTTTTCCCTCCTCTTCTGTAACTCCAATTACAGTATAAGTATTTTAGGCCTTTTTTCCGGACTGTTCCAATTAGATTTCTTACTCTCTCTTTCAGATTTACTTCCCCTTTTGTTATGTCTCTGTGCTGCATTCTGACCTAGCTTATGGGATCCTAGTTCTCTTTGTGTGATTAATCTACTTATAAACCCATCCATTGAGTCTTTACCTTCAGTTATCTTATGATTTAGTTCTAGAATTTATATTTGTTGTCTTATCAGATCTGCTCTATTTTTACAGTTCCTTGCATTTCCATGCTTACCTTTTTATTCATTTCAACCAAATAAGTATAATTATATTGCCTGTGTCCAATAATTCAATGTCTCAAGTCTCTGGTTTTGTTGTCTATTGCTTCTGGTAGATATTGCACACTGTCTTGTTTTGTTGTGTGCCTTATTGTTTTAGATTGTGTGCTGATTCTTGAATTGCTAAATTATTTGTAGAAACAATTTGTAACCCAGAAAGATAGTATCTTCTTTCAGAGAGCATATTTATTTGCATCTGTGAAGTACATGGGGCACTTCTGTCTCAAGACTATCTTAATCCAAGTTCAATGCTTGAAGTTTTCTGTATCACCCAGGTGACAAATTGAGAGGGTGAAAGTCGATTTAATACCTAGTCTATTTAATTTTGACCTTCATCTTTGCTTGTATTCCTTTGTCATGCCAGTTTAGAGTTTTAAGGGGTTATCAAACACTTCCTTTTATATGTCAGGGGAGCTAGATTTTATTTTTATCCCTTTGCTATATGAGACCACAAAAGTGCTAGCTCAGTTTGGTAACTGCTTCTTCTGAATTACTGAATGCCTCCAGGGAAAAGCAATTGGACTTAACCCCTGAGTTTATATATA